AGTGACATAAGTAGAATTGAAAATGTATGCTCCTGGCTGTTAATTTATCTAGTGCATAGCCCATCTTTCCTTCTGCACCATGAAAAAAAAGAGTAGAATTACATTGTTTTCTAGAAGTGAAAAATACAGGAGAAAAAGTTCATCTAATACCAAGTTTTAGAGACTTTTACAATAATTTTTTCTGCTCCTAATTCTACACTGGTCTATAGGCAAGGATTTTGATAATCTTAGTTTCTGGATTTTAGGACCTATTCTGTTTCCCTAATATTAACCTATATGTATTAGAAACTAGTAAAAGTCTTGTCTGTTATACAAAGGAGAGTCTGGATGAATTGGGAATTACAAGTTAATTGTGAACATAATTGCACTTCTGGTGGATAATTGCAATTGTAAGTCAAGCAAGACAGCTTCTAACGCTTGGGCCAGGTTTTGAATTCTATGAACTAAATTATTAATGAGGATATTTTCATAAGCTTTCTGCATAAAATTGTCTTTAGAACAGAGAGGTTGTCTGGTCTTTTCTTCTAGCCTTTATGACTCTCAGTGATAATCAGCAGCTGTTATCCCATGAATGTATGCTGATTTTATGCATCCTGACAAACCAGAGATACCAGATGTAGGTGGTGAATTACTTACAAGCTTTATGAAGCAAATATTAATTCTGTAGGTTCTAGTTGAAAGAGTGATTTAATACCTTGGGAATCTTGAAAGCTGTATTGAGTCTATTATGGAAAACCCAATGTGTAACTTTCCTCTAAAAAATCCTTTTTCTCTTTCTCTGATTCTGCTGCATTTCTTCTGTATTTTCCTTTATCTTCCTGTATTTCTCAGCCTCCTTTGGACTGAATTCTTTTGGGATCCTCCCTCGTGGGGGTCCTGCTTATATCAGTTCTCTAGTTTTGAAGAAAACTCCCGAGCTCGTTAGAATCTTGTTTCTCATGTTTATTAGAAGGTCATCACAAAACTTGGCAGGTCTCTCCAGGCTGGCTGCACAAGGATAATTCTTTACAATCTGGTACATTTCTTTCTTCTGATGGTACAACAAGGCCTTGTGGCTCATCCTGTGCCCGATAGCACAAAATGGCCCTGAACCACGCAGTTCTTTTATCGTTATACCTGTTTTTACCCAATTAACAATAGACAAGTATATTATTTTTCTTAATGACCCAATGACCCTTCACCTATGTGCTGCACTGCAGCATTTTCTGTCCAATCACTTACTATTACCCAAAAACCTCTAGGAGAAGAACATGAAGAAGAAAGAAGAAGGGACAAGAGACAACACCCTAAATCTTCCATCTTGTCTCCTGTTCTCTAACTTTTTCACCCAGTGATTTAAGAAAACTTTCTAATCTACACACTTACACTTTTAGCTTTTTCTATCTAATTTTAACAGTTGTTTTCATGTATCACCATGAAAACATGCTCATGAATTTCATATTATATGAAATTCAGTGTTTTTCTGGATCTTAGAACTAAGTATCAGAAACAAGGGCACACACTCCGTATTCCAGACTCCAACACAATGCAGGCTACTTTTCACTGTGGCTGCAGTCAGATGTATACATACCACTGAATATGCACTGTATGATGCATAAAGAAAACAAATTGATCAGTACAATAATATATAATACTATTGTATACATCAACAGTGTTTCCACATCTGATGGACAGCTGCATTGAACACGTTATATCTTGAGACTGATACAGTTTTAATGTGAGGACTTGAGACAAGTAGCAAAGTAGTAGGACTCTAAAGATTTTTATAGGAGGAGAGTGAAAGGTTGAGATTATTTATGCAGAAGATAGATTGAAAACTTCTATAACCTGTCTCCTAAAGCAAGATTTGAGTCCATCCAGTATCATCATATAGAATAAATTTTAAGAAAAGTAAAGAATTTTGTTTTGTACCTGAAACATAAAGAAATTATAGAATTCAAAGTCACAAGGATGGAAATTTAAGATAATTCAGAAAGATGTTTGGCACCCTTTTCATTTTTAAACAATAAGCATAAAAGGTTTTAGAAAAGATAAATTACTTTAAAAAAAAAAGAAGTACCTGAGTCAAACAGTCAAACGTATACTTTCACAATAATGGTTTATTGCATCTTCTTGGGATGTGTCTTGGATCATTGCCATTATGAATGTTGAGTAAGAGTCAGAATATTGGACAAAATGGACAATTACTTATATTCATGGTGACAGTTTCCCTTCCTTTGGCATTCTGAATTGTTATAATTTCTCTCTGCTCTGTTTGTCAAGAAAAAAGAAGGAATGGCAGCTCTGATTTCCCTTTCTGTCCCCAGAAAGCAGATGTTATAGTTTCTTTCAGAGATTCAAAGGGTCAAATATTTTGAAGACTCTTTCAATCACATCTCGTGCTAATGACCTATAAGCAGATCTGGGACAACAGAAAATACCTAACCATGTGCTTCTTTTCTGGCATTTTGCTACTTAGATAAATGAGAGATGGTATGCTTTTCAGGGATGTTAGGTGAAAGCACTTACTGGATGTGTTAGAGTCTAAAAACACTCATACTTTTAAAATTTTTCTGAGTGTCTCAACTTCTGTATTGTGATGACTACTGGGAGTCTTACCAGGATAATATGAAGAACTTAATACATTCCTAAGAAGTTTTCTTAAAAAAAGAATTCTTAAGAAGAATGTCTCCTCCTCCTACTCCAATTTACAGAATAAACATTCCCAAGCCTAAAATGTAACCCTGCTTGATTAGGGCACTTGAAAGCTGAATCACAGTCTGAATTTTGAAGCTACTTTTTCTCTCCACAGATTCAAAACCTTAAATCCCATTTGTGTTAGCTGTCAAATTAGCAAGCTACAGCTGTGATTAGAACGTCTTAAAAATAATTTCTGTTCCATGGGACTTTTTTTGGGGAAAAAAGAAATAACATCTGGTTGTGGAGTTAAAGGAATAAAAACTGAAATTTCCCTCCTTCCCCCCCCCCCCC